GGAGGTGGGGGGTGGAGGGGGGAGGCAGGGCCAGGCAAGGGGCGTGGTGGAGCCCTCCCGCACCCTGATTCCCCTGCCTGGCCCTGGCTTGGCTGTGACTGCTCTGTCTCCTTTCACTCAGGCCTGGTATGAACCAATCTTTTTCTTCTATCTTATGACAAGTTAGAATTTCATAAAAGAAACTCTATTAAGGGCTGGGAAGGTGGCTCAGTGGTAGAGTGCTTGCCTTGCATGCCTGAGGCCCTGGGTTCGATTCCTCAGCACCACATAAGCAAAAAGAAAAAAGCTGGAAGTGGCACTGTGGCTCAAGTGGTAGAGCGCTCGCCTTGAGCTGAAGAGCTGAGGGACAGCGCCCAGGCCCAGAGTTCAGGCCCCACGACCAGACCCCAAAAAAAAAAACAACAACTCTTCTAAGAGATTAAGGAGTGGGGAATCCAAAGGAAAATGTGCATTGGGCACAGAGGTGCCTGTCTGTAGTGAAGGCTGCTCGGGTTTAGGCTAAAACAGGAGAATCACTCGAGCCCAGCAGTTACAGACTGCCTGGGCAAGGCTGTAGCAAGGCCTGTCCTGAAGAATAAACAGGCAGCACTGAGAGCCGCTGAGTACTGAACTGAGCGGGAGGTAAAGCTGAGTCCCACTGCTGGCAGACTCCCAGCCCTGTGACTGTGGAGGACTCTGCGGTTCCCAGGGACCCCACAGGCCCGGGGCTCTAGCCTCCCACACGGGGGCTGCCGCCCTGGCCCCTGCCAGACAGGCGTGGCGGGAGCTGCAAGCGCAGATCCATCCGCACAGCCCTCAGATCGTAGAGAGGGTGCTTGGGAGTCCTGGAGAGCAGAGGCTCCCTGGGGAGTGGTGAGGCCAGCTGCAGCTTCACGCCCCGGGGAGCTTCCTGAGCTGTGACCTGAGATGGACATTGCCACCTCCGGGGATCCAGGAGGAGGGCGAGCAGGAGGCGGAAGAGGACAGCTGTGACACCTGGGTGTCATGGCTCCCCAGGTCAGGGAAGGACCAGGCTGCAGATGGTGGCTGCCAGCCATGTGCTAGGCCTGCCCTCGGCAGGACGTCCACATGCAGGACGTGCGCATGGAATAGGCACACTCTGCTCATTCCTCACTTGTTGGGGGACACTTGGGTCTCTTGGCTATTAAGAGTTCTATGACAGTGAATGCCTCTCTTCCCTCCCTCCCTCCCTCCTTCCCTTCTTCCCTCCTTCCCTGCCCACTCACTTCCCCTTTCTCCACTTGGACTGAAGATTGGACCCAGGGCTCCTTGTTAGATGAGAGCTTTACAAATTGAGCTGTGTCCTAGGCCTCTTATTCTTACTTTGTTTTTGAGATAGAATCTTGCTACCTTTGTCCAGGCTGTCCTTAAACTTGAGATTCTTGGGCTGGGAATGCATCGTAGTGGCTGAGCACTTGCCTAGCACGCAGGAAGCCCTGGGTTTCATTCCTCAGTGCCACATACACGGAAAAAGCCGGAAGTGGCACTCAAGTGGTAGAGTGCTAGCCTTGGGCAAAAGAGCTCAGGGATAGTGCCCAGGCCCTGAGTTCAAGCCTCAGGACTGGCAAAACAAACAACAAGACCTTGAGATTGCCCTGTCTCTGCCTTCCAAGTACCAGGAATACAGGCGTGAACTACCGTAACGAGCTGCACACCTCTCATCGCTGCTTTGGTCTGTCAGGTGTGTTCCTGCTTGTGTCTTCACAGCCTCCTGTAGTGTACAAGGCTCCACTCTTGTTTCTTGTTAGTCTTTTTTCCACAGTGGTCACTTGGGTAGTGTTGTATCTCACTGTGGTTTTGATTTATATTTCTGTGATGGGTAATGATGTCAGGCTTATTTGCATGTCCTTTAGCTGGTTCTATATTAGTCTTATTTTGTTGTTGTTGTTGTTTTATTTTTCCAGTCATGGGGCTTGAACTCTGGGCCTGGGCGCTGTCCCTCAACTCTTCAGCTCAAGGCTAGTGCTCTACCGCTTGAGCTACAGCACCACTTGGTTCTATATTGTCTGAAAAATATCCACATCCTTTGCCCATTTTCTGATCAGTTTAGTTATTTCTTTTGTGGGTCGTGGGGCTTGAACTCAGGAACTGAGCACTGTCCCTAAGCTTTTTCTGCTCAAGGCTGGCCCTCTCCACCTTGAGCCACAGTTTCTACTTCCTTGTTTCTGGTGGTTAATTGTTAGGGTTTCATGCACTTTCCTGCCTGGGCTGGCTTTGAACTGTGATCCTCAGATCTCAACCTGCTGAGTAGCTAGGATGACAGGCTTGAGCCACCGGCACCCGGCCAGTTTAATGTTTTTGTTGCACTTGTAGTGTGTTCTATATATTTTGAGATACACAACTTGCGAATGTGTATTCCATTCTGTGTAGTGCCTTTTACCTTGTTGATTAGTCCATTATATACAAATTTCTAAGTTTTGCCTGGTTCCAGGCCCTGAGTCTAACCCCCAGGACTGGCCAAAAAAAAAAAAAGAAGAAGGACGTGTGCTCCATTCATGCTGTGGGACGGCATCGGCCCCGCCTAGGGGCGAGGCGCCAACATCGTGCCAAGTGCGGAGGCCCATGGGAAAGGCCGTGGCGGGCGCTGTCTGCGCAGGACATGGTCAGAACAGGCAGGGCCACGGAGAAGACAGTAGACGTTGTTTCTTGACGTCTGCACTGACTACTCCCAAGGACAGAGTTTCCTTAGGGTTTATGGGGTGTTCAGGGTTTGGCTGTGTGATGGGTGCACAGGAACCACTCATGATGGCCGCCACAGAGCTGTCTCCAACAACAGCAAGACGGGCTGACGGGAAGGTGAGGGCCTGCCCCAGGAGTGCAGAGTGAAGTGGAGGAGCAGAGCCCCAGGAGGGTAGGCTGCCAGGGTGTGGGCCCCAAAGAGCCTGGGCATGGGGTGCAGACTCCTGCCTGGCACGGTGGGCGGCTACCGTGAAGCCCCTCATCCGGGGGGCAGGCATCTGCACGGGGCCCAGGCTGAGGGTTCTAGCCCGGGAAGTGGTATGGAAACTCTCCCCACCCAGCCACTGCAGGGCTTGGTCACTGCCATGCAGCAGGGCCCGGCCGGAGCCAGACCTGAGCCCGAGACACCTTTGTGGGAGATGCAGAATCTCCTTCTTCCCAACACATCAGATGGGGTTGAGAGTGTGGGTCAGTGGCAGAAAAAACAGGCCAGACTTCTCCAGAGCAGTGCACAGAGGAAGACGATTCACTTGGCAGTAGGCAGATTCCACCACCTGTGGCAGCCGACCTGTCGGGTCTGCAGCAAGCCTGGCAGGCGGTGCATGCAGAGGCTGGGAGTGAAAGGTGCTGTGGAGGGCGGGATCAGGGGCCCCGCATGGGGAGTGCTGAGCAGCGAGGGGGTTGCTGCTCTGCGTGGCACTCCTTCCAGCGGGGTGCTTTCTGCCTTTCCCAGCGTGGCAGGCCCCAGGGCAGTGCAAACTGCTCCCACGTCCGTCGCTGCTTGGTGTCTTGGTGATGGTGGTGAGGCTGTGGCTGGCCCAGGGACACTCACCAGTGAGCCCGGCCTCCTGCCCTTCCTGGTACGGGTTAGGTTGAGATGCCATCTTGCCTTTCTGCTGTGTCCCACACCTAGACTTTGACGCTGCCCTGTGCCTCTGCTGCAGCTGGGTGATGAGCATGTGCCATTGCCCTGCTCCCTCCGTTCCCGGGCAGCCCAGACGCCTGCGAGAGGACCAGTGCCAAGATACTGGCCGAGATAGTCTAAACTCCGCCTGGGCTGGTGGGCTGCGCTCCTTCCCTCTTCCTGAGCAGATAGGATTCCAGGCATCCGCCCGGGCTCTCGATGTCACTTTTCACACTCTGCCAAGTCAGGCCCTTCTCTCTTCTCTGGCGTCACGGGACGACTGATGGGTTGTGACCCGGCCCTGCCATGTTCTAGCTGCCACCCCTGCTGAATGTTGCCTCCCACTCCAGTGTTCCCCAGTCCCACAGCTTCAGCTCTTTGGAGGAAACAGGCCAGCATAGACGTGGGGCCCACAGGAGACTGCATAGAGCCAGGTTCAGATAGAGCCAGGCCGCTGGGCTTGGGGGATTTGGGTAGTCCCAGGACCAGGGTCCTGCTCACCTGCCCATATTCCCATTTTTCCCTGGAGTCCGTTCCGTTCCTCCTTCCCTGGTGCCCCGGCCCCCAGCCTGACTCGCAGCGGGGCCCTGCTTCCAGCAGCCAAGAGCTGCCCTGTGGCGTTCGGGGCACCGACAGGTTCTGTTGCCCTCGCCTCGCCGCTGGCTGGGCCCCACAGCTGTGTTCCACGTGCTGCCAGCAGCACTAGGCATTTTTTCTTCCCCTCTCACCTATTTCCTTCCTTCTTCCCCCCTCCCTCTCCCTCCCTCCCTCCCCTTCCTCTCCCATTTTTGGCTGCACTGGGAATCTAACCTAGAATGTCCACACAAGGCAAACGAACGCTGGGTTCTGAGCTACAACTCATTTGTCTCGTGTGTGGCCTGTTCCAACGCCACGGTATTTAGCTGGTCGTGCTGGGATCTGCTTGGGCTTCGTTGCTGAATGCCTGTGGCTGCGTCTGTAGGGACTTGGCCCCTCATGGCTCATGGGACTCACCAGGGCGCTCTAGGGCCCCACACCCTTGGGCCTGGCATGAGTGAGTGTCCTGGACCATCCGTGCTCCACAGCCTGACTGCCATCTTCCACCCCTCACCGTCCATTCCTGTCTTGCCTGGTCCACAGGTGCCTGAGATTGTGAGTGTGCTGCGCTCCAAGCTCCAGGAGACCCAGGAAGACCATGTCCTGCCGGCTGCCCAGCACAGTGTGTACCTCCTGGCCTCCCAGCACTGCGCGGCCGTGGTGTCCAGCCTCCTGGGTAGCCCTCTGCCCTTTGACAGGTACCCAGTGCCCTTCAGCCTGCTGGGTGGTGTCTTCCTTGCCTCTGCCCCTGTCCTTTCTGACCTGTGACCACCTGCTGATGGAGCTGTGGAGCTCCGCCTCTCAGGTGTGCCTTGATGTGGCCCCCAAGGCTGCCCAACCGACCGGCTCACTGATGAGTGGGTGATGCCAAGACTGTCCTTGCAGACAGCACCAGTGCCTCGTGCCTGTACGCTACTCAGGAGCTGAGATCTGAAGATCGTGGCTCAAAGCCAGTCTACGCAGGAAGTCCATGAGACTTTCACCTCCATCTGGAAGTGGAGCTGTGGCTCAAGTGTTAGAGTTAGCCTTCAGCAAAAAAGCTCAGGAAGGGCTGGGAATGTAGCTCAGTGGTAGAGTGCTTGCTTAGCATAAATGAAGCCCTGGGTTCAATTCCTTAGTACTCCATAAACAGAAGCCAGAAGAAGTGCTGTGGCTCAAGTGGTAGAGTGCTAGCCTTGAGCAAAAGAAGTTCAGGGACAGTGCCCAGACCCTGAGTTCAAGCCCCAGGACTGGCAAAAAAATAAAAAAAAAAAATAGCTGGGTACCAGTGGCTCACACCTGTAATCCTAGCTACTCAGGAGATCTGAGGATCACGGTTCAAAGCCAGCCTGGTCAGCAAAGTCCATGAGACTCTTATTTCCAATAAACCATTCAGAAAACTGGAAGTGGTGCTATAGCTCAAGTGGTAGAGAGCTAGCCTTGAGCTGAAGAGCTGAGGGACAGTGCCCAGGCTCAGAGTTGAAGCCCCACGATTGACTAAATAAATAAAAATATAAAGCTCAGGAAGGGGCTGGGAGGTGGCTTAGTGGTAGAGTGCTTGCCTAGCATGCATGGAGCCCTGGGTTCGATTCCTCAGTACCACATACACAGAAAAAGCCAGAAGTGACACTGTGGCTCAAGTGGCAGAGTGCTAGTCTTGAGCAAAAGCAGCTCAGGGACAGTGCCCAGGCCCTGAGTTAAAGTCCCAGAACCAACACACACACACACACACACACACACACACACACTCAGACAATTCATGAGACTTTTATCTCCAATTAACCAAAAAATGAGCTGTGGCTCATGGGTAGAGTGCCAGCCTTGAGTGAAAAGCTAGGACAGCACTTCAGTCCTGAGTTCAAACCCCAGTGGCCGCCTGCTCCATCCTGGCCAATACTACTTGCTGTCTCCATTCTGCTTTTCAGGCTTGTGTCCGCTCAGTGCCAGGCACTGAGCCTTCTGGTGACTGTACCAGTGCATCCTAGAAGCGGCCAGCACAAGGCCGTGGGACTCCTTTGTTAGCACGCTGCCTCTGAGCCCCTGTAGGGTGGACGCCCTCCACTGCGGGAGTGCTGCCGTGCGCTGGCACGCTGGACCCGTGCATCCCAACCAGGGGGCCAGGCCCTGTTAAGCTGCCTGCCACATGGCCACGCAGCCTCTGGATTTTGTCATTTGATTGGTGTGTGCTGTTCCTAGGGCTTACACTCCCGGCCTGGGCACTGTCCCTGAACTTCTTTTGCTCAGCTAGTGCCCTACCACTTCAGGCAGAACTCCACTAACAGCTGTTTATGTTCCTTGATGGGGGGAGGGATAGTTTTTATATAGAGTCTCATAGACTTTCCTACCGAGGTTGGCTTCAAACCTAGCAGCTAGGATCTCAGTCTCCTGAGAGGCTAGAGTTGCAGGTGTGAGCCCCCTGAATGCGGCATTGCTACTACTGAGGGTCTGGGACATCCGTCCGATGTCTCGCTGGGGTGGGGTTCCCATCTACTTGTTAGCTGCTGGGCTTGTTCGGAAGGCTAGCATCTCCCACAGGTCGGAAAGCCATTGGTCTGTCCTATGCCAGTTCATTCCCCTGCTCCAGACCACCTCCCTTGCCCTCCCCCCACGCTCAGCTGACTTGGTCCTGGGTAGCTTCTATCTGCCCTCAGCTTACTGCTTCTCTCTTCTGCTGCATCCACCCTGGCACCAGAAGTGTCCACTAAGTGCACTTCTCTGGTTCCCTTCCACATTTGCTACTTCTGAGTCTCTAGTTTGCAGCAGCTATTCTGAAGCTGGTCCTGTGTTTGTGTAAGCGCACGGCTCGTGGCTTCCCTGGCCAGTCGGAGCACCACTGCCCGCTGTGTGGGCTCCTCAGTGCTCGACCGACACTGCCTGTCTGCACACCCCTAGTTCTCGGCCGTGTGTGGGCCCTCGGGCCTGGGATGCGCACAGCTGCTACTTTGCGTCTGCAGCTCCCCGGCACCTTCTACCCTGCCCCAGGCCCAGTGTGCAGGCCTTGATTTCTCGCTGTCCTTTATTGCCAGCTGGTTCTGGAGAAGGAACGACTTCAGGTTTGGGATCCAGATGCATTTCCCCTCAGCTGGAGCTGAGGGTGGAGCTGTGGGTTGCAGGACGAAGTGCTGGCAGGCAGGGCCTCACGGTGACGTTCTCCCTCCTCCTCCTCCTCCTCCAGCCACACCTGCGCCCTGTGGCGGGCACTGGCCGTGGAGCCCAGCCTCACCACCCAGGTCCTGGGGCTGCTCATGGAGAAGATGCGCAGGGATGTTCCGTTCAAGGAGAGCCGGACTTTTCTGCTGGGCAGCACCCCTGACCGAGTGGCCACGCTGCTGCCCCTGGCGGTGAGTAGGGCCCCCACGCCGCCCTGCCCCCACGGGAGACCCAGGCACCCTGGAGTGCCTGGCAGCTGTGGAGGCCCGGATCATAAAGCCAGGCAGGTGTCGGCCCCCAGGGGAGCCTACTCCATGCTTTATCCTGCAGAAAAAAATAAACCTAGCCTAGCCACATTTTAAGCAGTAAAGCAGCTGTGAGAATTTCCTCCCCTTTCTAAGGAACTAAGAACAGATGGTCCTCGAGAGACTGTACCACCGTCAGCCTGCCTCCTTCCAGTCCAGCCTTTCACAGTGCCAGGCCCCTTCCACCCCGCCCTGGGGGCGGGATCCTCCACAGTGATGCTGCTGAGCCCCCTCAGACCCGGGGTGGGAAGTACAGATGTCGCTGTGGCCTAGGAGCCTGACCCTGTGGCGGCTCCTCCCCAGGCCACCTGCGCACTCTACGAGGTCATGTCTGCGCCTGCGTCTGCGCCTGCCGTGCTTGAACTCTACCCCCAGCTTTTCGCAGCGCTCTTGCTGCGTGTCAGCTGCACTGTCGGCGTCCAGCTGCCCCGGACCCTTCAGGCCAAGGAGAGGAGGAGCACGGGCCCTGCCCGGCCGGCCAGGAACCTGGAGCCCTGCAGGTAATGTGCCACACCCTTGTGCCTGGTGCTGTGCACGCTGGGGACAGAGTTCTTCCAGAGCCTCTCCTGGGCTCTGGACCGCTTTGGGTGGGGTGACCAAGCCAAGTAGCTGTGGGCAGTGGCAGCTGCTGCTGGGGGGGCGGGCGGCAGGGGCCCTTTCAGTTGTGAGCTAGGGCCTGCATGGCTTGCAGCCCAATGCCAGAGCTGCCAGGCCTTGGGTCTCATGGAGGACCCCGTGCCCCCCCACATTCTCTGCTATACAGTGCCACATCCCAGGTTAGGTGGTAAGCTGCTGGTCCTGGTCTTGCTCCTAAGTTGTGAGGCCACAGCTGGGGTGTAGGAAGCTGACCCCTCGGGGAAGGCCAGGACGGAGCTGAGCCGCAGGGCCAGTTGCTGTCAGGTTGCGTACCTGCCTCAGTGGCTCCACTGCATGGGCTGGCTGTCGGCTGGGACCCAGCTCACCGAATCTGCACATCTGCTGCTCGGCCCTCTTCCTTCTCATCTATGCCAAATCACCAAGCTTGGGATGTAGCTAGGGATGGAACCTATGCCCGTGATTGCCACGGACGCACCTGGCCGGTTAATGCCAGCCCTGCTGAGCCCCTACTCGTTCACCAGAGCCTGGTCCCTGGTGGAGGCCGGGCGGGACACCTGCTGGCACGGGCCTTCTCCCCCACAGCTCTGCAGTGGACGCCCTACAGGCCCTGCTGCTCTGCGGAGGCAGTCGGGATGTGGTGCAGTGCATGGAGCAGGAGGGAGGCTGGGAGATGCTCAGAACCCCGGCAGGACACGAGGACGGGGTCACACAGTTGGCCAGGTAAACAGGCCAGATGCTGCCAGGCTGTGTGGGTGGCCTGGAACCCTCAGCCCGGCATTCTGTAGGTGGGAAGTGGGAAGCCAGCCAGGCGGGGGTCTGCCAGCACCCGGCACAGGCAGCTCTACTTTGTACGCTTTGCAGTGCCATGGCCAGGTGTGCGGGCCCCCGGCTGCCGCTGGTGTTGAAGGCACTCACATGCACCCAGAGCGGGGTGTACGAGGTGCAGAGGACCACCTCCACAGCCTTCCTGGCCCAGGTAGGAGCCTGGGAAGAGGCTCCCTGTTCTCAGTGCTTCGGCCTGTTGCTCAGAATCCCACGCGGGGGGGGGGGGGGTGGCCGCGGAGGTAAGAAGGAGATGACCTGGCAACTCCTCCTAGAAAAGCCAGGCTTCCTGAGCGCCCCTGGCCCAGGGTAAAAGCCCGGGCCAGGGCGGTGCCGTGGGAGGTGGGAGGAGAATTCACCGGCACACCTCTGAGAAGCCTGGGTGGGGACCAGTGGGCCCACGTGCTATCAGCAACTCTGCCTCCAGCTGCTTAGCAGCAATGTCGTCAACGACCTCATGCTTCTGGAGTCACTGCTGGAGAGCCTGAGAGCCCAACAGAAGGACCCTAGCGCCAGCGTGCGGCGCCTGGTACTTCGGGGCCTGGCCAACGTTGCCTCTGGCGCCCCTGACAAGGTGGGTTCCTCCGGCCTGGCCTTGGGGTGCCTCTCGGGAGGGGGCTGGGACGGACTAAGCAGACGGGCCCCTCCCTCCAGGTGCCAGCCCATGGACCCCAGCTACTGACAGCCATGATCAGTGGGCTGGACGATGGGGACGACCCCCAGAGCCTGGTGGCCCTGGAAGCCATGCTGGGGCTCGCCCGGCTGCTGGAGCTCGTGGAGCCCGGGGACCGGCGCTCGGTGCTGCTGCACACGGCCATCCGCATCCGGCCCTTCTTCGACAGTGTAGGTGGGGGTGCAGCGAGCACACACCTCCAAGTCCTCGGCACCCAGCCCGTCCTGCCACTCCCCCGTCTCAGGAGCTGTGCTTTCGGGCTGCTGCTGCAAGGCTCTCTGGGAGGTGGAGGCCCCCGGCACCCACAGCCACCCCGATCTGCCCCGGCTGTGGGCCGCACCCCGTCCTTTCCCATCCATCCCACCACCGGAGGGAGGGGAGGCAGGGCGGTCGTAAGGTGACGAGGTCGCATCTCTCCCAGGAAAAGATGGAGTTCCGGACCGCGTCCATCCGCCTCTTTGGGCACCTCAACAAGGCCTATCACGGCGACTGTGAGGACGTTTTTCTGGAGCAGGTTGTGGGTGGGCTGGTGCCCCTCTTGCTGCATCTGCAGGACCCTCACACCCCTGTGGCCAGTGTGAGTAGCAGAAGGGGGCCCGGGCCGGCAGCCTGGGGGGGGGGGGCCGGGCTAAGCACCGCTCTCCACAGGCCTGCCAGTTTGCCCTGTGCATGTGCATACCCCACCTGCAGTGTGAGGAGCTGGCAGCGGCCTTCCAGAAGCATCTACAGGAGGGCCACAGCCTGCACTTTGGGGAGTTCCTCAACTCCACCTGCAAGCACCTGGTGAGGTGGGCCCGCAGGGAGGGGCCCTGCCTTGGCTGGACTGGGGGCCCTGACCCCGGCCGCCTCCCCTCCCCCACAGATGCACCACTTCCCCGACCTGCTGGGCCGCCTGGTAAGCACCAGCCTGTTCTACTTCAAGAGCAGCTGGGACAGTGTCCGAGCTGCAGCGCCCCTGTTCACAGGTGAGCACCTCCGCGCCACCCCCCTCCCCCACCCCAAGTGTGCACTGCACACCTGACTCCAGCTGTCCACCAGGGTTCCTGGTGCTGCACGCAGAACCTGAGCACAGGCCACAGGTGGACCTGGAGCAGCTCATTACAGGTGAGTCTCTGGCCAACGCACAAACTACCCGTGCTGTCCCAACCTGCCCAGCTCTGCTGGGGCCCTGCTGACCCTGTGGGCACCCGCAAAGACTAAGTGATTTTCCTGGATTTTAGGATTTTCTTCCCTGTCACTGGTGACCTCATCGTCCTAGTAATTCACGGAAACTTCTTAACCGTTCCAAAAGAGCTTAAAAAACACTAAAAAAGGAAAAACTATCTTTCCGTTGGCTTTCAAGCCCTCCCAGCAGAGGCCTGTGTGTTGAAGAAGGCAGTGGGCGGCCCGGGGCCCAGGCATGTGTACTAGCAGCCTCTTCTTCCTCCCCAGCACTGCGTCTCCTGCTGCGGGACCCAGCACCCGGGGTGAGGGAGAAGGCTGCGGAGACGCTGGGCCGCCTGGTGAAGTTTGCCTGAGGCTGGGCACGCCACGCAAGCAAGACTAGCCAGGAGTTGCAGCACACGCTCGCCTCATTCTCAATAAAGCCATTTCCTCCTCAGCGCTGCTAAGAGGGGAGAGGGCCCTCGCCCCAGTTTTGGATCATTTAGTTGGGTGAAGATTTCGCGCTGTGGCAGGGAGCTTGCAGGGAGCTTGCTCCTGCTGCTAACCATCCCAAGAAAGCAGCAGCGGTGGGGAGAAAGGCATCTATTGAAGAACCCTGGGCACCCCCCTCCTGCCTCAGTCCAGGCCACCTAGGCGCTGGGCGGCAAGCCTTAGGTGAAGAGGCGGACGGTGCCGTCTGCCCCTGAGGAGAAGACCCAGGGCTGCGTGGGGTGGAAGGTCACATCCAGGACGCCCAGGTCTCGAGCCAATGTGTGCCCCTTGAGCACCTTGACCGGCACCAGCAGTGGATTCTGCAGCAGGTCGCTGTGGAAAGACACTGGGGTTAGGGCACCTTGAGACAGACACAGTGCTCCACAGGGGCCGCCAGGGCCGCACTCACCTGTACACCATGCCATGGCAGACAATGACACTGCCGTCATCTGAGCCAGAGGCAAAGAGCGGGTACCGAGGGTGGAAGGCCACGGCCCGCAGCGCCTTCTTGTGGTGCCTAAGGGAGGGCTGGCTTCAGAGTGTGCTCAGTGGAGAGAGGGGCCGCCGGCCGCCCCTAACCTCCCCCAGCTCACCGCAGCACTTTATATGGCTTGGTGGAGAGATCCAGGTCGAACCACACCAGCTTGCTGTCGTAGCTGCCACAGATGATGTTGTCACCTGTGGCCAGAGGCAAGACGGGGGTCCTCACTCGACCTGCACGGCGCACCCCTCCCCTCTCACCAGTGGGGTGGCCCGCCCCTTACCTGCCGGGTGCACAGCCAGGCTGGACACCCACTTGCAGTTAGGCATCAGCTTCTTGGTGAGCTCTTGGCGCAGCAGGTGGTAAATGCGGACGCTGCGCTGAGAGGCCACCAACAGGAAGGGCCGGGTGGGGTGGAAAGCCACCCTTTGAACCTGGCCATGGCTGCGGCGGAAGGGGCTCTGGCTACGACGCCGGCTCAGCTGGTGGATCAGCACCTGGGTATGGCCTGGGCTGGCCAGCACCACGGCCAAGTAGTCTCCTCGCCCGTGCCAGGTTACCTGTGTCACCGGCTGCAGAAGGGTGCTGGCTGACTAGCTGGGCTGGGTTGCATGGACCCCGCCCTCCTCCACGCCCTCCTCCCCTTACCTTGCTGTGGCAAATACGAAGCCGCAGGCCCCACTGACACTCCTCCTCGGACGCCTCCTGCCAGCGGGCAGTCTGCAGGACGGGCTCCTCAGGGGGGGCGAAGGCACCCAGGAGCTGGTCTGTGCTGCCCACCAGCAGTCGGTCCCCCAGCGCCGGGTTTATCAGCAGCACCGTGTCGTCTCTGTGAACCAGAGCCAGATGCAGCCCCTCGGCACAGCGCCCACCCGCCAGCCGCCTCACCGAGGGTGGGTGGCACACTCACATGGCTGCGGCCACCAAGCACACGGTGGGGTTGGGGTTCCAAGCAACGCTTCTCACCACGCCCCCCGCGGGCAGCGTCCTCATACAGCGGGCGGTGGCAACCTCCCAGAGCCGCAGTGAGCCATCATCCGATCCTGGGTAAGCAGGGAAGGCCCTCAGCATCTGCTCCTCCCACCCGGCCCCCAGCTCTGGGCTGCCCCCACCCCAGGCCCACCTGAAACCAGCCACTGGCCCCCCGGGGAGACACTGAGGCAGCGGACAAGGTCGCTGTGGCCCCTGTAGACCTGCAGAGGAGGAGCAGTGAGACAAACTGACCTCAGGGACTTGCCGCCACCCCACCCCCACCCCCACCACGGAACCCCAACTCACCAGTGCTTGGCACACAGGGAAAGGCTGCAGGTCCCTGGGTCGAGGCAGTTTGGGGATGAGGTCCTCGGGATCCACATTGACCTGCGGCAGACAGGACTCCGTCACCCCTCCCCCCTCCCCCTCTTCTCCCCCCGCAGGCTTCACCTACGTACCCTCATCTTCCGCTGCCGTGGGCACAGGTACAAATCCAGACAGCGCTCAAAGCGCTCTTGGATGAAGCGGTCGTAGGCAGGCACAGCCCGCAGACTCAGAAACTTCTGTGGCAGGAAGTTGAGCTTCCGCTCAGCAGGTTCCTGCTGTGCCCATGCCATGCGCTGGGGAGGAGAAGCAAGGTGCGCGCTGGGAAGGGGGCTCAGCACGCATGAGACCCCGGGTTCAATTCCCAGACAGCTGCCAGTGGCACTGTGGCTCAAGGGGTAGAGCGCTGGCCTTGAGCACAGAGAGGGCTCAGGGACAGCGCCCAGGCCCTGAGTTCAAGCCCCAGGACCAAAAAGACCCATGACGGGCAAGCGGGGAAGTGGTACAGGCTACCTCCTCTTCACTGGGCAGGTACTCAGGAGGGGGGTTGTAGGACTCCGCGTGGCCAGGCAGAGCCAGCTTGGGTGCAGGCACGTGCATCTTGTGACGCCCCAGCACAACGCTGGGGTCCTCCTGGGCCCATAAGTCATAGAAGCGGGGGGCGGGGTCTCGGGGCCGACGAGGTTGGATCCAACCCATCTTGATGGCGTGCACCATGCGGGACACCTACACATGCACAGCCGAGGTCAGCAGGGCACCTGCCCACACAGCCCGGCTGGCCGGGGCGGCTCCAGGGCGGAGGGGACCAGGCCCACCTTCTCCTTTTCCACCAGGGATGGGATGAAGCTTCGCTTGTCAGCAGGGCGGTTGGTCACTGGGTGGATCATGAGGTCCCCACTGAAGAAGTCCACGGCCGGCTGAGGAGACAAGCCCGGGGCTGAGGCCCAGCCCACACCCACCCGCCTCGGGCCTCGACCTCACGCCGCTCCTACCTCACACGGGCTGAAGTCCACATCTCCAAACTGACCCCTCTGCAGCCGCCGCACCAGGGCCACCTGCTCGTCGGTCAGCCTCAGGTCATGTCCGGTCGTCCGGTCCTGCACAGTGCGCCTGTGGGGTGGCCGGTCAGAGCCGCGTTGGGCCCCGGGTACCCAGGGGCCTTGCTGCAAGAGCCAACTCACCAGAAGTCTGGATCGTCCATCTTGTCCAGAAACCGGTCCAGCTCGTCCCGGGTGCGGAGGGGCTTGTAGATGCGCTTGCCATCCAGGTCGTAGCCCACGTGTGGGAAGTCCTCGTACCACGCCAGGGGGACGTTGCCCACTGTGTTCCGGATGTCCTGCGGCACGGGCACCGTGTCAGCACCTGTCCCCCACCCCAGCCTCCTGAAAGCCACCGGAGGCTCATCAGAGAGGGCCAAGGGCCGGCCTCGAGGCCCCTGGACATGTGCCCCTGCTCTGGCCCTAGGGTCTGACGTGGCAAACCAACCGGCACCATCCCCCCTTGCCTCCACCCCAGGCCCTCGGAGGCGCCGCAGCTTTACCTTCACATTTTCCACTGAAGTGATGCCAACCCGAGCCTCCCCCTTGTCGGATTCCTTGGCGAGGGCTCTGGGCAGCCACAGACACAGATGACCTCATCGCTCATGGGCTCCCTCCCCTGGCAGGGACCTTAGAAGTGGGCAGCTACGGAACAGCGACCAAGGAAGACCCCATCCCACCCATCCCGGGGGACACTTCTGCCCTCTGCCCCACAGGTGGCAGGGACCCCCCCCCACGCCCCCTCCCTCCCTGTGCGGTAGGCAGAGCAGCCGCATTCCGGGACACACATTCCTGGTTTCAGCCCCTGCCAGCCGCCACCCTCACTCCTCCCAGCCCGGGGACGGCTGCCCAGGCAGCCGCTTCCTGCAACAGTAGCCACAGGGGAGGGAGGCAGCAAGAACAGCAAGCATGGTTGGGCGCTGCAGCCCCCTGCAGAAGAGCCAGGCAGGACCCCGCACCTGCCCACTCCCGCCCTCCCAGCAGGCTGCCGGACCCCCGCCAGGCCCGACTCTCCTTCCTGTAGACCTGGTCTTACACAGGTGTGCCAGCCCGGGAGTGAGAGCAGTGGGGGACGGTCTCCCCAGCACAGCTGCTGCCCAGCCCAGAGTGGGGAGCGGGCAGGTGCAGGGTGGATGCGCTGTGCCCCCCACACCCACACCCACACGTGCCCGCTGCGGCTGACTCCTGGGGCTGCCAGGCAGGCGGCGGGGAGGACCCAAGTGCTCCGAGAGGAAGAGACAGGGTGCGGCCAGGCAGCGGCTAGCCGGGCAAGGCGTGTCCAGCCACGGGGGAAGGGGGGGGACCTTGCTCTTGGGGCTCCGGTACCTCGGGCACTCCCACCCGCCCCACATCCCCACGCCAGCCTGATGCTCGGGACCCCTGGGCACGGCCCCGGGATGGCGCCGGCCCCGC